CGTTTTTGTGTATAAATATAACTACGAACAAAACTACTTACTGCAATTTAATCATAATTAAACAATATTCACGTAAGACATCATATTAAACGTAATTGAACATCTTCTGTCAAAGACGTTTGACATTTGACGTATTAGCCGACGTCCTTTGTTTTATTTAAATTACGCTTCTACCAAAATTTTCAAATTGAAAATGTAATATTTCTACGCGATTTTGAAATAATATCTCACTTTTCCGACAACCTACTGATTAGCACGAATTTTTCAAGACTAAGACTGGCCAAATCGGTTTAGCCGTTTTCGAGTTTTACCGGATAATTTGATCGAGAGCTCCATTTTTATATATAAGAAATTTACACATTGTTTCCATATCTCAGACAGACAGAGGTGCCTGGTATGAGAGATTATGAAAACAGTTTTATATTATATATATATATATATATATATATACATTACATTTGACTATTTAATTAATATAATATCTATTACAATTAAATTATCTTTATATAAGTACGAACGCTCACCTATCGATCGAGAGTATTCGACGGTTCTCGACAACGCTCGTTCGCCCGGTGACGTCACTATCCCTATTATCTTTTTCTTATCCAAGGTTTATTTTTTCCGAGATTTTTTTCAATATTCACTAAAAGCAAAAAATATTTTTAATTATTATTTATCAAAATAATGATTTGTGCTTCAATGTCGCAAAGTGTGACATCACAGACTTGTTAGTTAGAAGAACGACGCATCATTCTGTAATCATTCAATCATTCATTCAAACATCGGACGCAGATGTACGGCATCATCGTCTGTGTTTATTAAAACTGGATATTATTTTTAGTAATATAAACACATATTGTACTTAGATAGATTATTATTTAAATTTAGTATATTAAAAACAACGATTATTTAAAATAAATACAAGTAACAGATAAAAATTGGTGCCGATGAAATTTAAACAAATAAAATAAATTGGTTAATAAAAGTGTTAAATATGTATTATTAACTAAGTGTTTTAATATTTAAGTTTTATTGTTCACTAATAATAATTAGTAAAAAAAAGTGTTAAAATACTTAATATTATTGTGAAGTGCTTTTTTGTTTGTGATATATAATTCTGTGTGATATACATTTTTATAATAGTTTATTATTTTAGTGCACATTGTTTTTAATATTTAGTTTAAATATATGTTAAAGTGCAGTGTTTAAATTTATACAGTTGTTACTAAATCACAGGTAAGGTTTTTTTACTTTATTAAATTTATATATATATATATATATATATATATATATATATATATACGAGGTCTGTTCAAAAAGTACCCGGAATTTTCGTTTTTTCAAAAAAATATTTATTTATTCGTCTACATTAATGTGGTCCCCTTCAAAGTAGTCCCCCCAGATATAATACACTTATGCCAGCGTTTTTTCCAATTTTCGAAGCACCCTTGATATTCACTTTTTGATATGTCCTTGAGCACTCTCGGCGATTTTCTTCAATCGAGGAAAACCGCCGTCCTTTCATGGGTCTCTTCAACTTTGGGAATAGGAAAAAGTCACACGGAGCCATATCTGGTGAATTTTTGCACTTTGCAACACTTTATTTCAATTTTTACGCAAAATTTAATACAAATTCTTTGACTTTTCAATTCTTCCATTGTAAAAATCGCCGAGCTCAGAAAAACACGTCGAACCTTAGCGACTACCACAGACAAAGTAAACAGTGAATATAGCTGAAAATTCATCATACTTTAGGGGCATGTATACCAACACAATAAAAAAAAATTTGACAATCAGACACTCCAGACCCGCGAAATTTAATTATTAGTAATTCCGGGTACTTTTTGAACAGACCTCGTATATATATTAACAGTCTAGTAATCGGGCATAACATCAATAAAAAACATGAATTTCTTTCAAAAATTTATTTTAAATCCATACGTTTCGGCTATAATCCTAGCCTTCAATCAGTGAAAACTAGAAATAAAATTAAAAACTAAAAAATTGAATTGAAGTGAAAAGAAAATATAAAAAGAGTAAATAGTACTTACAATTTTATTAATCTATAATCATAGTTAACACTAAGATTAATTAAATTGTAAGATTTCAATAATCCATGGTATCAGGAATATCTTGATTATAGATTAATAAATTTGTAAGTACTTTTATTCTTTTTATTTTTTTCTTTTCACTCCAGATTTTTATTGTTTATGAGACTTTTTTATTATTTGTGGATTCTGTACGTTTCGGCACCGTATGTGTGCCATCATTATTTTTAAACAAAATTGGACATCCCAAAAATTTTGCTAATAAAATACTATAACAAAAATATATACATATTAAATAAATACCATAAATAATAAACATTGTTGGAATTATACAATTAAGACTTAGTAAAATTTTTAAATTATTATTGCAATTTTTTAAAACTTGATCAATGGTTAAAATTCCAATTAAAATAAAAAATTCAAGTATTTATCGTTTTGTGAATATTGGGAATAATTTCTTATTAATATTTTTTGTTTGATAAATGATATTGAATAGATGAGACCTAAAATTTTCAATACATTTATCTGTTCTTTCTCCGAAACATCTAATCTAATAAACAAAAAGAAGCTTTTTTGATCAGATCAGATTTTTCTGTCAATCTACTAATGAAATCAAATCTATGTCAATCTATAAATGAATTCAAAATTTTCAAATATGCTCAATTAATATTTCACGAGTGCTTTTAACAAAAAAAATGTGATAATAAATTTATAATAAGGTACGCATAACATTATAAAAATTTGAGAAAAAACATAGATCACATATATAACGAATTTTCTTAAAATTGTTTTTATTACAGTATGTTTTAATAATTCTTCTTCAACGTTTTTGTTACACTGATGATGACATAAATCATATATCGAAACGTATTGATAAATATAAATATTCTTTTTTATGTAATGACTTGTAAGAAATATGTC